CCTAATGTAGTTTTTGAACTATGAAACAATATAGTTGAAATTAACATGATGCATTTTCATAACATTATCACATATATTGTAGGGTTTCTCAGAAGAAAAATTATTTAGATGTCAATTTCGAAAACATTAACTAAAGAATTCCTTTTTTACAACAAAAAGTAGCGCCAAAGTTTATATTTTCAAAATTCAAACATAAATGTTAGTGTGGGATAATTTCAACGTATTATAGAATTAACCAAATGTAATAATGAAGTCTTATACACTAATAAGTTAGCTATTACTATATAAATTATACAAAGTGCATTATAAAAACAGACATTATTTATTAGTAGACATTCCATTCTCCATCATAGTATGTCTAATCTTTGATATTTCACCTTTGGAACAATGATATTAGGAAATGATAGGCTCTGGTTTATGGAAAACGGTATCTTTCTACACAGGTTAATTATAACCTATGCTTCTTTTATTATAAAAATCATTAGTTGTTAGGTTCACTTATAGCTTTTATTTAGACATAAGTTACATGGCATTCCTATTTTCCAAACTGTGATGGCTGATTTTATGTGTCAATATGACAGGACAAAGGGAAGCCCAGATAGCTCGAAAAGTATTACTTTGCGTGCCTTGGGAGGGTGTTTCTGGAATAGATCAGCATTTACATCAGTGTGCTGAGTAAAGAAGATCCACCCTCCTCACTAATGTGAGTGGCCTCATTCAATCCACAGACGGGAGGAACAGAACAAAAGGTAGGGAAGGACAAATCTGCTCTCTCTCTTCTTGAACCAGAACATCTATCTTCTCCTGCTTTCAGACATCAGAGCTCCTGGTTCTTGACCCTTTGGACTTGGGAACTTATTATGCCAGTACCCACTTCCCAGGCCTTCAGATTCGAACCTCAGACGTAGAGTTCCACTGCTGACCTCCCTGATTCTCAGACCTTCTGACTAAGACTGAATCACATCACTGACTTTCCTGGGTTCTCCCGTTTGCAGACAATAGATCCAGGCCTCCATAATCATGTGAGCCAATTTTCATAATGCATCTTCATATCTCCCACAACAGATAAATAGAGATAAGACATATATAATATATAAAGATATAAATATATTTCCTGTTGGTTCTGTTTCTCTGAAGAATTCTGACTAATAAATGAAGCACCTCACAGTAAATTTCTCCACACCAATCCACTATATCCAACAGATAAGATCATGTATCTTGTATTATATTACACTATAAAACCCTAATGATCATTTAAGTCACAGCACACAAAAAATACATATAATAAATGATATTCAAAACCATACTCAGCATCTGATAAACACAAAGTTTTCCAATCTCTAATTGTCATTATCAAAATAAAAGGCAATCTAATATCCGATAGCACTTTTTTTCCTCCCAACATTCCATTTTGCTTTAAGTTTTTATTACAGGGTATTCCACCATTGAAAAGGATATTTAATTTTGAATACTGGAGTGTCTACATCCAAGTCCAGTACAACTTTGTAACAGATCTGATCAACCATATACACATTAAAAATGAACTTTCAAAATTTAACTCCCGGGGCTGAGATATGCACTACCTAGATCAACTTAGTGAACTCCTGTCTTTACAATATGGCTTAGCCTATAAATACAGCACGCATGTTTATTGCAGCACGATTCACAATAGCAAAAACATGGAGCTAAACGTGCTGCTCTTTGAAACTGGAATGGATTTTTTTAAATGTGATACATATACACAATGAAATATGATGTACCCATAGAGAAGGACAAACATATGGACTTCGCAGCAACTTGGGTGGTTTAGAGTCTATCGTACTCAGTGATCTATCACAGAAACAAAGAACAGAGTATCACATGTTCTCACTCATAAGTGGACCCTGAATATTTACCATAATGCTACAAGAAAGGTAATGGCAGTAGTGGGATACTGCCAAGGTCAGGGCGGTGACACAACAACAACAAGGGTATTTGATCTCACACAAGGCAAAGTGGGGACCAAAGAGAGGCCTGAACTTTACCTGTACAATGTCCACATGTATACCTAATCCTGAATTGTACCCCATATCTTTAAAATAAAATTTAAACAACAAATGAATAAATAAATACAGTCTTATTTCCAACTGTATTACTACTCTCCAAATGATTCTCAACTAGTCCTAAAACTTAATGCATACTATTTAATCAGTTGGTGCCTTTGCTCAAACATTTCCCTTCACCTAGGAGGTGGCTTCTGTATTTTCTTCAAACCCATACGTGATTCCTTTACAGTTTTTTTTTAAGAACTAATGTGTCACTTCTCACTCCCAATTTTCTTTGACCAGAATTGAATCTCTCATTTATTATTCTTTCACAAAATATTACTCAAAACTACCTGAAAACACGTTCTTTGGTCTAATGATTGTGCAGAATTATATTTCCTTGAGGATAGAAAAACCTGTCTTAAGTAAAATAGCAGGGTATTTGGCAGAGAGGAGCATAAAATAAAAGTTTGTTAAATTGAATTCTGGACAATGCTCAAAAAGAAACAAAGTATATTTTAAATGTTGACGCAAATGAATTCACATGAAAGTGCTTCAGAAAATGAAAATGTTCTGTTTTCATTCCTGTAAGACTAAAAAGTCATCTGTTCAGACTATTCATCCTTTTTTCCATAACCACTAGTCAGGGATGCCAACGTCCTATTCAAATGGCTACTTCTTCACACTGTGAATATCTAATCTTGTAACTACAGCAGTATGATATTATTGGTGGAATTTTTTTTTTTTTTTTTTTTTTGAGTTGGAGTCTCACTCTGTCGCCCAGACTGGAGTGCAGTAGCCGCTCCCGACCACCGCCGCCTCGACCTGCTGGGCTCCAGCGATCCTTCCCCCTCAGCCTTCCGAGTAGCTGGAATTACAGGCATGCGTTACCACGCCCGGCTGATTTTTTGATTTATTGTAGAAATGAGGTCTCGCTTCCCAGGTGGGTCTCGAACCCGCGGGCTCAGGCAATTCACTCACCTCAGCCTCCCAAAGGTGCGGGATTACAGGCTGTGCCACCGAGCCCAGCTGGAATATTTTAAGTTAAAAAATCTGTGGAATCATTGATTAACTATTGCATAACTTATCTAGCACATTATAGGATCTCAAAAATATTTCAGTTCAAATCTTTTTAGAAAGATTTTTTCAATTAGAAAGTTATTCCTAGAAAACACATTATTTACAAAATACCAGATATTCTTTATGTCACATATCACCAATTATATGATCTGTCTCTTTTCAACCCATGACATATTTGTAAAACAAAGTAAATTGTCTCTTTAAAAAACATAATTATTAAAATGACTATTCAATTTAGCATAGCACAATAAACCTGAGCAAATAAAAATTTCATACAATTTCCAATAGATATAATCACAACTTTAATGTATGGATATACCTACTGGTTTAAATGTTATAAACTGATGAATGATTCTCGTAGATCTTAAATTATTTAACCTATATTGATGCCTAGGTTATTTTCCATTCTTGACATTTCTAGTAGCCTCTTTTCAAAGTTCATCTTTAATGATTAGCTCCTTATTTATTTTAATCGGAAAAAAACAGCATTAAGTAAAACTCAGTTATTTCCAGTAGGCTATCATCTTCAATAAAAAATTAATAAATTGCATGTTTTATTTAAAACATACATATGCTATCTATCCTTTTTATAATTTATAGGATTTCATATATACATACACATTATATATATATATATATATATATATACTGAAAAGGTATTCTAGAAAAAATGCTTCATTAATTTCTTAAAAGTAACTGTGATAAACACGGTCTACATAATATACTCAACAAATACTGATGCTTATTCACTTTATTGAATAACATAATGAAGATAAAAGCATAATTCTAGTTTAAGATCTATATCTCAGAAAGTTTAGTAAGAGCTCTGTTAAAATAAAATGATAATTTCAGAAAGATAAAATCACAGAATATAAAATAAACAAACTTGAAAAAGGAAATAGCATTTTAAACAGAGAAGAAAGATTCAAATCTTCAAAGGATATTTTAGTTGAAAATATATGTTTAATGAGTAATTGTTGATGTAAAATGTCAAATTCAACAGTAATATGTGAAAGATTTTAAAATAATAAACATGTTTGGGTCAACTACCTTCAGATTTAAATTTGAATATATAATAAAAGACGCAATGCAAAAATATCAACTAAGAATGTAATGAACAAGAAAAATACTATTTCTACGAGGAAAAGGGAAAGCTAACACAAGTATATCTGAAAATATGTGGCTGCCTCAATTATTGAGTATTTTGCTTAAACAGATGAAAGTCAAAGTAAAAAGCCTAACAAGCCACTCTTTAATTTTAGCTTAATATGAAAACAAGATAGAAATATATTGCCAATGTGAAAATAATCAAAATATGTCAAAATATATAAAAAGTTAATTACAACCAAAACTAAAACATCGGCATCAGAAAAACCATATTTTGCAATTATACATTCTTATAAGCCTTCAAAAGCACTACTTTCAGCTAACAAAAACCTAACCACAATGTATCTTCTTGTCAAGTTTACAAAACACATAATGTTTAGTAGACTTCTATTAAAAATCAAATAGCAAATATTTGAATAATCCACTTGTAAACTACAAAACTTTTATGCACAAATACTCACTGAGGCTATCAAGTGTAATATACATACATAACATATATGAACTTCCCATAGAAATTTATGTCTAAAGAAAAAATATATATGGAAAGTTATCTAATGTTACTATGTATAGACACAATATTGAAGAACAAGTATGAATTTAGAAGAATGCAAGGCCGTTTACATATCATTCCCATTGGCTACCAGTTCTAACTGCATTGTAATATTTTGTATGAAATTTAAATTGTCTGCCAAAATCCATAATAATTGGAGCCGTACTGTTCCTTTAGTTATTATAAGAAACACTGAAAATTTAACAAAGATGACAATTTCAAAAAGAATTTAAACTTACCCCATTTAATGGATATGTTTTCCATCCTAGCTCTCCCAACACGGTTGTTGTATCAAGCAACACAACTGGAATAAAACAGATTAAAAAAATATTTAAAAACTACCATGAATTTCTCAATTGATACAAAAACACGCTAAAGTTATTTAAATTATTAATGGCAACTACCCTTATTATTATTCATTACATTAGGTTTAATAAGTTGCATTATTTACTTTTTAAATTATTTACCCATAGTAATCATTAATATACAATTATTTTAAATAATGATGAAATATGTAAAATGGTTAAAAATTAACTTTAAAATACGTAGTTTTGTGTTTAACAATGCTATATGAAATATATAATTGAATAACATAATTAACAAAGTCATGTTTAATAGCAGATTTTTAAAATTCATGAAATAATTACCTTTGCTTCTGACCCCAACTTTCATATATAGTCTTTTTTAAAATCACATTAAAGAAAAAAAACCTGTAATAAAGCAAGCTTCTATATTTTCTTTTTGTGTAATTAAATTCCCATATATAATTGGTAAAGTATGAAAACAATTCATTTTGAATAAACCTATTATCTTTAAAACATAGAATGCATTATTATATGTATGAGATGGTATACTTTTGCTTAAGGGATACAAAAATAATAATAAAAACCATGCATTTTTTTCCAGTGACCAAAAGTAATTCATAATCTGGTCAAAAAGGCAGATGTGTAAACAAATAATAACATATTCTGTTAAGTTATAAAAGAGAAAACTAGCACACCCTAGCAATTAAGTAATGCTAAGGTTTGGGGGATAGGTATGGGAAAACATAGCAAAAGAGATATAATTTGGGCTGGGCTAGGATGGGGGCTTCAACCAGATGTGATAATATATTTTTTCATCTAGAATACTTTCCATAAAGTAACTAAGAAATTACTACAACAGTTTTCAGTTGCTGGAGTGGGGCCCAGGGGTGCGACTGCTTTTGGGGAAGCAAGATGATAAAAACAATGCAAGAAAGACAGATGGAGATAACTGAGGGGTGTTTCTGTAGTGTTTCCAGCAGGCAAATGTATAGTGCTTGTGATTCAGCGGATCTCTTTATTACTACCAGGACCTAGATGCCAGGAGGCCATGGCTCGCACTCTGAGAAACAGTGCTTTGGTACCACATAGTTTTGGCTCTTTATTTTGTTAAGAAAGTGTGTTTTTAAAATTTTTGTGGCTTTAAAAAAATGCCATCGTATGCTATTTGGCATCTGCTGTTTAGTGTCTAATGCAAGGATCCCGTGGTTTTACTTATTGCAATGACTGTGATAAATTTTATTGATACATTTTAAAATATAAAATGATCCTTAAAACTCTGGGATAGACTCTACTTACTTAGTGCAGAATATTATTTTAGTTTTTAAAAAACCTATTCACTAAACATACATTTGCATAACTAAGCATAATTCTTAATATTTAAGTGTGGAAAATTCTCACATAGAGAAAATCATAAAATGAACCCTCATGTACTCATCACATTGCTTCATCATTACCAATTTATGGCTAATTGTGTTTCATCTATGCATTTTTACCTACTTCACCACTGTAAGATCTCTTTGAAGTAAATCCAGTAATCATATCATTTCATCTGTAAATATTTCGGCATACATTTCTACAATACACTGTTTCAATATACCTCCAAATACCTTAATTCATTACCATAAACAGTAATTCCTTCATGTTGTCAAATATCCATTGGTGATCAATTTTCATATTGTCTTGATTTATTTTACCAAGAAGTTAAGATCCAAATAAATGCTATACATTACAGTGAACTGGCATTCCTCTTTAAGTGTTTCTTTTAAATCTGTAAGTTCCCCTCATTTTTTTCAGTTAGACTGAGATATGCTTTACTTACAATAAAATCTATCCATTTTAAATGTGTATTTCCATAAATTGTGACAAACCTCCATATCCATATAACCATGGCTACAATCAAACCATAGAAATTTCTGTCCTCCCCCCAAAAAATGTCTTGTGACCATGTATTAAAAAATCATTTTCCTATCCCATTCTCTAGCAATCACTAATCTGATGTATGTCCCCATAATTTTGCCTTTTCCATAATGTCAAATGAATTAATCATACAACATTTTGGCTTTTGAGCCTGGTTTCTTTCACTTAGCAGAAGGCATCTGAGATCAGTCTGTGTTGCCACATGTTTCAATCATTCCTGTTTATTGCTGAAAGTATTCTACTTTCTGGAATTCCCTGGTTGATGGGCATATGGGCTACTTCCAGCAGAGAACATTATAAATAAAGCGACTAAAAAATTTCAAGTACAGATATTTTATATGAACCTATGCTTTCATTACTCCATGGTAAATACTTAGGATTAGAATTTACTGGGTCATATGAGAAAAAATGTTCAACTTTTTAGGAAACTGTCAAACTGGAATCCAATATGGATATGGAATTCCACATTCCCAATAGCAGAATATATGGTTTTCCTGTTCCTGCACATACCAAGACTTGGTATGGCCTAGTTTTATTAAAGGCATTCTAGCAGATGTGAACAGTCTCTCATTGTTTTAATATGCACTTCGCCTAATGACTAACCAGTTCTCTTTTTCACTACTTAAAATTGATTTATTGGGGGAAAACAATTAAATTGTTTTGGTCCACATATTAGATTTTCCTGTTTGATCATGAGATATCCTTGTACATTCTCCTCCATTCCCCGTACTTTCTTAAAAGTGGTAGATATATCTAGTCGCTTGATTAGATTCAGAGGTTCCAATTTATTTGTATTTGTATTGTATTTTTTATTGTTAGCAAGACAGCTCCATTGGTGTTGTTTCCTAGTGCTTACATCAGAAAAAAGGGACAATATTAACGTTCACTAAAAGCACGTTAAAGAGACTAAGGAACCAAGCTACAGAGGCTTCCAATGGGAAACCATGGAATATCTGATCATATACAAGGTGAATGACTGTAAGGGATTCAAATAAGCTGTCATAATGATAGAACATAACTAACTTGTTATGCTGCTAACTTTTGCAGAATGCTACAAAAGTATTATTCTTAAAAACTGTTAAAAAACTGGAAAATAATAAAATATTTATTTTGCTTTTTCTATATGAACTACTCTGAAAAACAAAATAGTTAATGAAAAAAATTTATTATTGAAATATTCCAGCTAATAAATGAAGACAGAAGGATCAAATTAGGTTAACACCACTTGCTACTCCGAATGAATTAATATATTTAGCAAATGGTTTCCCACGACTATTAACATCACAATAATAATAATAATAATAATAATAATAATAAAAGGAGACATAAAGGGTTAGAGCTTTTTAAAAGTTTTTCTTTATAATGTAACTTACGCATATTAGCATACAATTCTAACAAGCCTGGAAATAATAGAAATCACGGATAGAAAGTAGAGTAAGGATGAGATACACATACATAAACAATGACATTGAAATTCATTCAGTGTAACAAAAATAATTTCACATATTGGAGAAAAAGATGAACATATAATATATATTAAAACCATAAGTTTATCTTACTATCAAATAAAATTTATTTTGACATATACTACTCAAAAAATTCAGAAGTACGTAATTTCAGTATCCACTTTTTGGCACTCAGAAGTTTAAGGTTAGTCACCTAGAACCCTTATATTTCTGAAATACTTCATTATTTCCCTAGCAGGCTGAGAAAATTATGATCTTAATTCACAGTCACTGTAGTAAGGACTTTATATAACCTCTCTTCTTCAAGTGATCTCCAAATTTTCCTACAAGGGTATTTTTCTCCTTTTAAACAGATCTTTATTTAGTCGCTCTTCTTTGATGAACTGATACATTATATAAAGACAATACTTTTTCTATATTTTGACAAGGATCTAAATTCCTTTTTATGTGACTGATGTCCATAGAGTGCAGTCAGCATTTTAAATTGATGATAAGAGTTCCTTATATATTTTAAATATAACCCCATTTTTTAATGTTGAAGTTACAGATGGCAATACTGAGGCTCAGAGAGATTAAATAATTTTTCTGTTTTCACAAAGTGATAGATTTGCATTTCAAACAGGGAGACTGATTCTCAAACACTTTGCTGTAAACCTTGGAAAAGGTGTTGTTTTAATCCTGTCTTTTTAAGTTCGAATACAAAACATCATTATTTGGTTTTGCTTTTTATTTTTGTAAATATAAAGAGACATCAATATTTCTTTTGCTGATTCTTAAATCTTCATAAGTTTGATTCCAATTAACTCATCAATTATTTCTACAGAAAACCCACCATTACTACCTACAAACCATGGCATTCAAACCAAGGGTTTTATTGGAGTAGAGTGCTCAAAAATTCCTAAAATGTATTAAAGTCTACCAACAGAGATTTAATATTCATAAATTTTATATGGAAATTATGACCAATGAATGAATTGATTATAAAACTAGAATTATTTTTAAAACATATTTAAAACACATTGTTCTCAGTCATAATTTTAAACTATGACATATTTACTTCAAAACAAATAAAAAAGGAAAATATGTAGATACCCGCAATAGTGTAAATGCTTAGAAAACAATTTTTTGTGTCTTAGCAATTTCCAGAAAGAAGATTTACCTAATTGCTGTATTTTCATTGAACTGCAATCATAACTTTAAAAAATTCCTAAAAACAACAAATCTAAAATTTGCATTTCAGACAGGTGAATTACACTAAAATAAAACTTACAATTTTTGAGATTTTCAATACTACTATATATAGCAAATGTTTTAATTTTATCATTTGTTTCACTTACAAAACCCCCATAAATTCAGGTTTTTCAAGCACACTAATTACATTGAACCCAGCAAGGTGAGAGCTCCTCCTGCTGGCTTTAAACAAAAGTTAACTAGTCCCTACCAGAGTGCAAAAACATTGAAAAACCAGAAGGAGGAAAAAAACCATTATATCAACGTGAACGTCAGTAAAAAATCAATATTTTTATCTTTAACAGGAACGTTTTAAATAGCAAGATTAGCACCTATTATTTATCTGGAGTACAAATTAAAATATAATTAGTCATATCATAAGACTCTGAATAGAATAGACTGAGGGTATCAAAATAAAGTTTTGAAAATATGCATTGTTTTTCACAAGCAAAAGTGCATAGAATATATTTGTAAAACTAAATACGAATTTCCTATTAACTTTTTGAGAAAAATTTCCAGCATATTATATTTCTTTCTGAAAATATGTTTCAATTTATTAATGTTTTCTTTCTTCTTGCCTTGGAAAATTACAATAAAATTTCACTATGTTTAAAAATAAAATATAAAATGATAAAGACAAATTTAATAGTATTGAATTAAATATAAAAGTAATGAGTACCTAATATTAAAAAACTCACTATTAATTTCTTGCCTTTAAATAATTTATCATCTCTTTACATCACTTTAGTAAATCTAAAAGATAATAATTTTAAAACAGTTAAGATACTGATTTATAGCATATAATAAAATATCTTTTCTCAAACAGCACAATAAAAATGAATGACTTTATTTATATACCATTTTGAAAAATTAAATGAGGAGGCAAATCAATCCTCTAAGAAAGTAGCTGGTTTTTTTTAAGATAATTGTATTTTAATTTTCAAGATGACATGTGAATTGAGTCCAAAGATTTATCAATATTTTTAAAAGTTCAATCATAAATTAATGTTTGGAAATTTTGTCTACAGACTTTATGCAAAAAGAAGCAAAGCATTTCAAATAAGTTAAAAAAATCACTTAGTAACAACACAGCAGTAGAGGTTTATGATAGCTCTATGTTTCACTTATTGTAACACATTCTGCCACATCCCACAGCTTTTAATAAACAAACAAAGTAACAATGGAAATACTTCTGACATCATGATCAGATACAATCAGAGAATACTTCAAATTATAGATATAATCACCTGTATACATTAAATTTTAGGAGTAGTTCATTTGAATGTAATATTGTTTAGATGCCTTCAGCTGACATTTAGGTGACCAAATTAATCCAATTTTGACATAATTGGATATTTTTGATTGGTAAAAACCAAAGGTGTTTACTTCCAGATCTGCAAACTATAGGTATCTACTCTCATATAGAATTGGGATCAATATCTAATTCCCCAAAAATCTAATGTAGATTGCTTTAAATAGGATTATGTTTACTCTGGTATATCCTCTATATTGATAATACTTTTACAGTAACACCTTCCATTGGTGATCATTCCTTCTTAAAAATAAAACTACTTTTATCTAGAAACTGAGATCAATATTTGTTCTGAGGTACACTTATAGCATTTTGTTTGTTGTGGTAGATGTTCTTATTTCTGTTACTGCCTGTCTACTTGTTTTTAATATAGGTCATGTTCATGATTAATTTTAACTATCCCTTCAGTTATATCTGAGAATTTGGAAATTCTACTTTGAAAGATAAGGTAATATGAACATAGTGAGGTTGGCTTTCTCAAATTAGAGGAAAAAAATCAAGCCTACATCTTTTGAAATGATACTCGTTCAGCTTTCTGCTCTACCAGTAAATATATTTTTCTGAAATCATATTCCAACCTCTGTCTCTGTCCTTTCTGGAAAACAGATAACTCATTTTCAGTCCTCTAAAATAAGCTATACAAAGAAATTATTTTTATTCACTATTACTTTAAATAGAAAAGGGCAAAAATTCAAGCTACATAATATTCTACCTAATTAACTTACTTTGAGGACAGAGCAAGTGACACTGTGTGTTATTATTTAGAAAGCAAGTTCTGCCACAGAAAACCTTATCCAAATAATGAATGGTTAATAGTTGATTAAAATATAACAAGCAATGTCCGTCTTGACATTCACACCTTTGTATTTTCCTTTCTCCAAGAAACTGTGGATCCTTAAACTGTTAACAAAGCTTTATTTGCTTTGATCTTATAATCACTCCTAAAACCTGCCATTGCCAGCACTGACCACAGTGACCAGGAGAAAACCCAGGTGTGGATGTCACCCGTCACAAGGTCATGAAGCTACAGGTTTGCTTCTGGGCTTCTGAGCAAGGTCACTGAGACTTACTAATGAGTCCTCAGAACATGTGCTTTCCCATCAAATTGTTCAGTTATTTCTATAGCTAAAAAATAGTAAAATAGGAAGTTTGGCAATGTCCCTAGTCAAACCAATACATAACTCTTCCCTTTCGATACCTTCAACACTTTGAACTATAAATAAAAGAGGTAGCTGTGTTTGGAACTTGCATTATTTACATTTATTTCGATGACACAGAGATTAAATAAGTAGAAAAGACTATTTTGCTGTAGCCTTAGATTTTTCTAGCCTTGTAATATATTAAATAACCGCTGTTTTTCATCTCTCTCAAAGTGCTCCATTTAGTCCAATCCATTGAACATGCGTCCCATTGCTTATACAGTATCAAAGATGCGTCTTGCCTTTTTAGTTCTATCTTCTCTTATATTTCTCACTTGTTTTTCATGGGCTTTAGACACTTTCCAATTTTTTTGGAAGAATATTTTAAAACTTAAAGTTTAAAATACACTTAAATCATTGATTTTATGGCCCTGGGAAAAGATATTATGACTACTTATTTGAAAGTCTTATCTATGATATAATAATCATCTCAATGCCAAAACATTTCTATATAATGGAAGAAAGGTCTAAAGAAACTACTGAAACCCTTACTTTGAAAACAAATAATAATGGCTTTGTATTGATAAGGAAAAAAAAATTTACTTGAATCTAAGAAAAAAACACATGACCTGTAATCCCGTGCTTTGGGAGGCTGAGTTGAGTGGATTGCCTGAGCCCGTGGGTTCGAGACCCACCTGGGCAACTTGGCGACACCTCATCTCTACAATAAATCAAAAAATTAGCCGGGTGTGGTAGTGTGCGCCTGTAGTTCCAGCTACTTGGAAGGCTGAGGAGGAAGGATCGCCAGAGCCCAGCAGGTCGAGGCTGCGGTGACCGGGAGCGTGCCAGTGCACTCCAGCCTGGGCTACAGAGTGAGACTCCAACTCAAAAAAAAAATAAAAAAATATATGAATAAAACTTACTCTTTTTCTCTTGAAAATGGAAGGACTGTTTTTTTTCCCTGCAGTATTGTTGGTTCCCTCAATTACACTTACATGGACATAATGAAAACAGATTTAAAAGTCTCTCACTAGGGCATATGGATTCAAGAACTACTACTTGTCTTTACATTTTGATGCTATTTCTACAGACATTTATTGAATCTCTGATATATTTTAGACTCTATATTAGGCATTATAGGATATAGAAAGTCTGTAAGATATGATGTCTACCTACAGGGAGTACAAGTTGTCATTTTATGACTTCTACTATTAGAATTTTTGTGTCAAC